ATGTACCTTGCCGTTGCGACCGAGACCGTTAGAGCAATGCTAATACGCGAAACCCCCGAAGAGCAGAAGCTAATATACTTCACAAGTAAAGCCCTCTAAGGCCCCGAGCTCAGATAACATCAAATCGAGAAGGTCTTTTTGTCCCTCATCAACATGGACAGGAGGCTACGACATTACTTCCTGGCTCACACGATCATGGTCAGAACCGACCAGCCCGTCAAGCAGCTACTCGGGCGGCCAGACATGTCAGGAAGAATGCTCAAATGGTCGCTCAAACTCTCAGTATTTGACGTCCAGTATGAGATCAGAAAAGCCCTCAAGGATCAAGTCTTGTCCGACTTTGTCGCATAAATGACCTCTACGGTGTCCCCAACCCCTAGAGCACACAAGTGGACATCTTCGTCGACAGCGCCTCGAGCTCGACGGGAAGTGGAGCGGGCATCATCTTGGAGAATGAAGAAGGCATCCTGATAGAAGTCTACCTTGCCTTGGCATTTCCAACGTCGAACAACCAAGTCGAGTACGAAGCATTCCTCGCAGGACTCTGCCTGGCCAAAGACCTAGGCGCCAAAGAGGTAAAGATCTTTACCGACTCCTAGCTCATGGCCTCCCACGTGAGGGGAGATTACCAAGCCAAAAAAGACAACCTCGCAGAGTATCTCGCCTTGCTAAAAGAGAAAATGAAGAGATTCAAGTCCACAGAAGTGCAACATGTTTCGCGTGAACACAACACCAGAGTTGACATCTTGTCGAAGCTAGCGAGCATAAAGAAGAAGGGCAACAACAAATCCGTAATACAAGAGGTTCTCCCTCGTTCGAGCATTGAGAATGACGCAATGACTGTCTAGGTTAACGCTATCTGTGACAATAACTGCTATATGACCCTCGTATACACCTACCTCAGCATTGGACGACTGCCCGACGATGCCAAAGAGGCCAACATGGTCAGACACCGAGCTTGCTCATATGTCTTGATCGAGGATAAGTTGTATCGGCGGGGATTCTCCATTCCCTCCTCAAGTGCGTCGACGAGTCCAAAGTGCCGAGCATACTCCAAGAGATTCACGAAGGAATCAATGCCCAACACCTGAGCGGAAGATCGCTCTCCCGTAAGGCTCTAAGGGTAGGATACTATTGGCCCACCATGCAGCAGGACGCCAAATAGCACGTCAAGGAATGCGAAAAATTCCAACGACACGGGGACATGCACCTAGCCCCGCCCAACGAGCTCAAAACGCTTTCGCCCCATGGTCGTTCGCCTGGTGGAGGATGGACATCCTCGGGCCCTTTACCATAGGATCGTATCAGAATAAGTATTTGATAGTCAACGTTTACTACTTCACTAAATGGATAGAAGTCGAAGCCTTAGCCAAAATCACGACCCAAAACATACTCCGCTTCTACAAGAGGAATATACTTGCCCGGTTCAGCGTACCCCAGGCCGTCGTCACCGACAATAGGACTCAATTCACCGACAGGAACTTCTAGGACTTCGTTACCACGTTGGGCGTAAAGCAACACTTCACCTCGGCCGAACACCCGAAGACGAACGGGCAGGCCGAAGCCGCGAACATAGTGATTCTGCATGGCCTGCAGTGAAGGTTGGGAGACGCCAAAAAGAGGTGAGTCGAGGAGCTACACAACATTCTCCGGGCCTACAAGACTACCCCGCATTCGACAATCGGGGAGACCCCATTTCGACTAACCTACAAAACTGAGGCAGTGATTCCGGTGGAAATAAGAGAGCCCTAGAAGAAATGAGTCTCCCCTTGACGAGGAGGCAAACAACGAGGCCTTAAGGGAGGAACTCGACTTAGTCGAGGAAATCAGGCCAGGGGCATCCCTACGAGAAGCCTCACTGAAACAAAAGATAACTTTGTGGCATGATAGCAAAGTTATCAAGCGCGAGTTCCAGGTGGGCAGCCCGGTCCTACGAAGGAATCAGAAGGACTCGCGCGAGGGGAAACTCACCGTGAACTGGGGAGGCCCCTACTGGGTCCGAGACAAAACGGGCAACGAGGTTTATTACCTCAAAAACCTGCACGGGGAAAAACTTGCTCGGTCATAGAATGCTGAAAAACTCAAACAATAATACAGTTAGACACTGCCCGCGACCCATGAGCGTTGCGACCACAGGGGTACTACATGGTACATGCACGACTCCTAAATTTAAAACAAAAAGACAAAAGTCTTCCATTTGTATGTGCGAGCAGACTCTTGAATCGACGGGGACCCCTCAATCGAGCTCCACCATTTCCGTACAAATAAGGCAGAACACCCAACTCGCGATGGGAAGTTCACGTCGCATGGAAAAGATCTTGACCGAGGCCTTAGCTTCGTTATTGATCGAATACCAACTCCGATCACCCGACCAGTTTTCTGCATGATAGGTCACAATATATGTCGAGCAAAATCCCCAATAACAAACATACATCGCACGTTATTTCATACACAAAAAACAAGGAAAATAGAGCACACATAACATAAAACTAGAATATTGCATTTCCAAAGTGTGAGCAGAGCCCATAGTTTAAAGGTTACAAATACGACATGCAAGCCGAAGACAATTACATCAAATTGTGGCGCATAGGCCAAGAAAAAGAAATACAACAAAAGAACACTAAACAACTACATCCTCCTCGAGTTAGTCGCCTACCATGGCTTAACCGTCATCCTTCTCTTTGGCTTCTGGCGCGACCACACGACCCTGGACCACCCGATGATAAGAGCCTGTTCCCTCAGTGACGAGTTAGACGCCAGGGTTCACGACCTGAAGCTGCTCCACAACACTGTTGAACCCCACCTTGAGATCCCCTAGACAATCCTGCTTAAGCTCCCGGATCTTCGACACCAGGTCATCCCGAGACGCCATGAGTTTCTCTTCAATGGATTCATGCTCAATTGGCCTGGCTTTGACCTTTAGATCGGCCATATTGCTCTGCAGTCGACCCCATTCCTCCTTGGTCTTCTTCAGATCGTCCCTCATCTCGTTCGTCTCATGTAGAAGGCGCACCTGGGCTTCATACTTCGTCTGAGCCTCTTGTAAGTCGTTTTCCTCCTTGTTCTTCTAAACCTCGAGAACATCGTCCTCTTCTCGTAGCTTCTTCAGCTTTGAGGTTAGGTTGGTTTCATCATTAAGAACCAAGGTCGTCTTGAAGATCCTCATCATGACTGCCATATCCTCGGTAAGCGCTTTCCTTCGGGCCGCCCGATCAATCCCTATGATCGCTTTAGTTTCGGCCTCTACCACCAATGGAGAGTGGTTCCCGGAGAAGAAGTCTCGCTGGGTGTAGCAAGGAGGCAGCACGAACTGTTCCACGGGTGCACTCTCCTCGAGATCAAGAAGCATTGGTTCCTCGATCGGCCGCCTCTTTGAGGATGTGTCTTGAAGGGGAGGAGATTGGCTGCATTGAGGAGAGGAAGAACCACCGGCCCCCTGGTCGGACATCATTATCTGCTGGACTTTGAAGACTCTGCTTCTACTTTTCTTCTTGCCCTTTGTCGTTGCGAGCTTCAATATGTGTTCTTGTGTGTACGATATCTGGCCTGCAACAATGAACAAAGAAAACTAAGTCAGTAACAAGAGAAAAAGGACGGGCACCCCGCCAAAAACAGATTTGTTACCTAAAAACCTCAAGGCCTCCTCGTGAGATTCGCACTCGAGGATAACCTTTGTGTTAATCAGTCGAGCCTCACTACAAATCTCCCCGCACTCGTTGAGGATGAAATTCCTATCCTTCGCACACACTTGGCGGGAGTGAAGCTGGAGGCAAAATCGACCAACTTTTGGTAAGCTAACCGGTCATCAGGATCCAGGTCGACATGCTTCACGATATAACCGTTCGTGCCGTGGTTGAAATGGTTCTCGACCCACTCAAGCGAAAATTTCAACACCAAGGTTTCCTCAAACTCCTCGTGCTCTTCTGTGACCACGAGGTTGTACAGATAGTCAACGTCCGCGTATGACACGGGCTTCACAATGTAAAACCTGTCCTTGAAGGTGCAAACAGATTCTTGGTACGCCCGAAACAGCTTTCTCGACTGCTGAATGTAGATAGTTTAGACACAATGAATTAGGTGATGTATTAATATGTAATTAATTGCTTTCAAAGTATTAGATTTTATTTAGAAAGATCATATTTGATCTAGAAATATTAGATTAGATATTTTTGCGCTTTTATAGTTTGGGTTTTAGCTTGATATGTAAGTTAACCTAAATCTATAAATAGGGAGGAACCCTTTTCATTATAATCATTAAGTTTGATAATCACGATTTTGCAGTTGCAAAGTGAGAATAAAATTTTACAGTTGTGGGTAGAGAGTTACTCTGCAGTTCAAACTCATCTTCTTTAAACGTGTTTTTGTTTTTGTTCATTGTCATTACATAATAATCTTGAGATCAAGATTGAGAATAATTCTCCATAGATTGTGGTTGGATTTCAACAATTATCTAATATAAGGCATAAAGTGCATTATAGAACATGTATTAGAATAAGAAAATTGCAAGCTGGAGAATAGTCACATGTCCATATTCATTTGTATATTTTGATTTGAAGAGAAGGTAAGTTAATTTGAATCTTCGCTTGTTTTTGTATTATTATTCAATTCATCAATGAATCTATTTAGAAATAAATGCTATGAATATATTGCCCTCACATGTTTTAAAAGTTTTATTTTTGGTCATACACATTTAAAACGTTACGTCATATTTCTCTGTGTAGAATCAATACCTTTTAAAGTGTGTCAGTGTCGTTGTCCGACATGATATCAATATTTATGATCCCGTTTAATTTTTTTCTATATATTATTATCGATGTGTCACATGTGATGTATGTCGCTTACCCTTAATGTGATGATGAATTGACATGATTGTAAATGTTTTTCTTAAGCTATTCAAAATTGGCAACTAGATTTTTACAACAGAACCAACATTTTTGTATGATTATTATTTGAGATGCATTATATATCAATTTACACACACTCAAACATGCACAAATAAATCAAAGATCATTATATTCTTCCCCATTATGAGACTGTTCAACCTCATTCTCTTCCAAAGACCTTCCCATAGTTTCCTTGGTGAAAAAGTAAGTAACAAACATTCCTACTATACACACCCCTCCAAGTATGATAAGTGAAGCTTGCATTCCAATTCCCCTAGGATACCCTTCCTCTTTATCTTTATGTGAAGCCCATAGAAACCCAACAGATCCAATGATTGCACCAACCTTACCAACAGCTCCGGAAATTCCATGACACGTCGACCTAAACCTAGCCGGAAAGAGTTCGGCCGGGACAATAAAAGTCGTAGTGTTAGGTCCGAAATTTGCAAAGAAGAAAGCAAGTCCATATAGAACCATGAAGCCTTTGTTATCATGGTTTTCAAGACTTGTCCAATGAGAGTAATAGGGAAACCCTATGGCGAAAAACGACACTGCCATGAAGAAGAAACCCATCATTTGGATCTTGACTCTTCCTACGCGATCGATGAAGTAGACGGTGAAGAAGTAGCCGGGAATGGTGGAAGAAACCGCGAGAATGGCTTGGATTCTTGCAAGATGGAAAGCTTCTTGATACACGTCCTGTTTGTCTTTGGGCTTAGTAAGGAATCGCTTGTATATTTCACTTTGGAAAAGAACTTGGCTGTAGAACACTATGTCCAAGAGGAACCAGTTAGCAGAACAGGCGAAAAGATCGCGGCCGTGTCGACGCAAGAATTCTCTTGAAAGAAGAGGGTATGATGCAGCTGTTGTCGTTGGTGGTAATGATTCTTCTTCTGCTATTTGGCTCATTGATACATCTAGAACTTTCTCCATGTCCTTTGCAGCTTGCAACACATTTTGTTCCACTAATGCTGTATATCTGATGCACATCATAAAGTAAGTTGTTCAATTGTTAGTCAAAAAGATAAACATTAGTTGCTATTGTAACAAGATAACACAAGATAACTTTATTTATTTTAGTATACAAAAGCCAGAATCACGAGCAATAAGCCCTTTGAAATAAATTAATAAGTCTTACATTTTCTACTAATTGGTGATCATTTATTGGTTGTTTTTTTGTGCCGTTAGTAGGTTCTAAAGCGAAATTTCCAAGAGCACACCTTCATACATGTGTATTACCGTCCGATGAGATCCAACAATTAACCTTATGTGGATTGATTTAATCGCACTCACTATATAAGAAAAAAAAAACGCGTCATTTCAAATATTTAAATTCATTCTCACTTTTATATTATTTCTCATTCTCTCACTAACTTGCATGTTGAAGTGCTAACTTTGCACGTCAACCCCCTCTCCGTTGTACCAGAACTTGTTATGCTACACCAAGACCTCATTTCACCGTTCATCAAACATTTTGCTTCCATAACGGAACAGTGGCGTTCATATGTGAAAACAACATCCGATTCCTGCAAATTTTTATGTTTTGATTTCTTTTGATCCAAAGATTCAAATCTTTTTTTTAAGAAGATTCAAATCTCTGTTTTTTGATATTCTTCCTTGAAGTTTCAACCTCCTAACAGATCAATTCTTAGATTCATTAAGCATGATGACATCCAAAGTCACTCAATCCTCCTTTCAACGACAAGTTATTGATACAACATCTGAAGCTGCTAGAGCTCCGCCTCTTCCTCCTTCTTCTTAAGCAGGAGACTATCCAGTCCTAATAGCATCTTTTTCGAATCCTACGCAACAAGATCCTGCTCAATCGAGAGTTGGCCAAGAAGCATTCCAAACTCTTTCGTTTTTCAGATCTACACAACGAATTCACCAAGACGAATAGTCACATTGATCTCCACCACTACTTGTTGTACCTAGACAAGAAATGTTTTCTGACCTTTAGTTGTTACAAGACAATCTTGGAGTACAGAGAGCCACCGATCTGCTGAATATCAGTAAAATTCACAATTCTTAGAAGAGAGGCTATTCAAAATTGAAGAGAGCATGCAAACAAGTAATAACACTGTGCGACAGGCGGTATCTACATGAAATCAAGTCTTCGTAACTGAGGTCACCAGCTTGCAACTGACATCGAAGATATAGAACTCCTTTGCCAAATCCTAAAGGGATGGGTGATACCCACACTCTCCCAGAGGTTCAACGTCCTCATCATTCACATGCACGACATCCTCATAGAATGCAAAGATACAACAAAAATGCTTTGGTTCCAGAGCTTAAAAAGAACTTGATATTTGTTTGGAGCCTCAATGGTAAGATTTCGAGTCCATTAGAAAAATCTCCAAAGCTGCAAAGCTATGACAGAACTGAAGATTAAGACGAGCACGTCGAGCATTTAGACAACCAGATGGATTACTACCACACCCAAGGGGAGGCAAAGTGCACACTTTTTGCATTAAGCCTGAACGGAGCTGCAATGATGTGATTAAACACCCTCCCATATGGGAGCATAGATTTGTGGAAGGACCTCTGTGATGCTTTCACTGCCTAGTTTAGCGCTTGAAAGCGAAAATCCAAAATCATGGTTGTACTTAACAGGGTCGCTCAGCGAAAGAAGGAAACCATGTGTAAGTACATTGACCGCTCCACAAAAGTGGCAGCAGCACTGTATGGCACATATGATGGGATAAAGTGTCTGATGTTTAAGAGATTTAGGTTAGATTGCATGTTCCTAAAAAAGGTAAGGCTCGAGGGAGCTTGTAGTCTAAGTGATTTTCTTAATAAGACACAACCCTATATAAATTATGAAGAAGAGCTCTTAGCTAAAGAAGGAGACAGAAGCCAGGGAGCAGGGACACCAAACACAATCAAACACCTGAAAGATACAACACCCGTGGTAGAGAAGAAGGGGATAATGGACCTCGATCCAGGTTCAAAGCTTACACTCCCTTAAACACTTCAAGGGAGAAAATCTAGAAAGAATGTGCAAACACTGCGTTCAAGGAATTCGGGATTATGAATCTCTACATGACCAAATAATCATCCAGGATGGACAAGTCCAAATATTATCACTTCCCCAAAAGTCATGGCCACAACGTAAATGAATGCATTCATATGAAGGATGCAATAAAAAAGTTGATTAAGAAGGGGCGACTTATTAAGCACAACTAACATGGTAACCATAAGGTAAGTCTAGACAATAAGAGACAATGTAGGAACCAAGAAGATTTGTTAAAGAAGAACACTCTCCCATAGAGAAAAGTCTCCCAATAAGGCTATTGAAATTGAAACTAGAGCTAAAGAGGGGAATGAGAATATTAATGAAGAAGAGGAAGACTGAAAAAGTTATCACTGATACATCTTTTCCATTGATGGTCTTCCAAGATTAAAAAACCTTCCAAGGGGACCCTGAAGAGAAAAATTGTCGAGCTGATGACCGTAAATAAAGAAGAGGGGAAAACTTTAACCATGGAACAAGAAAGACATGTCCTCAGATTCCTTGATAGTGAAAAGGTAAGAGGAATCCCAAACGAGATCTTTCCTCTAGTCATAACGACCATCATCGCCAATTTGTTAACATCTTTTGAACCCCCATTGATGGTTGAAGCTATTATGATATCATGTTCTCAAAACTCTTTGAAACGTTAGGACTGAAGAAAGAGAAGTTATGGCCCTATGAAGCACCCAACCTTCAAGGTTTCAATGATAGGGTAACCTGTCCCTGAGGGTATGTTAAATTTATTGTCACCTTGGGAGAGGGAAGAGACACCAGGACAATATCAAAACAAGCAAAGCCCCATCACAAATGACTTAAGGGTGATGTCAAAAATGTCACTGGCATACCACCAAAGCAATAAAAGCACAACAATGTCAATGGATAGATAAAGAAAACAAACCACAAAGTGGTAATTACAAGCTCACACCCATCTTAGTAGCTAGCCCCTCCAAAGGCAATGGTGAGTCCATATCACGTTGACCTCGAACCAGGTTCTCACCTGGAAGAAGGGAAAAAAGTATCAACCCTTGGCTGAACACGATCTCCATAGACGTCCAACAAAACTTCGAGCATGATCTTAGAGAACAAGCTATCTCTCAAAGAAACGAACTCAAGGCTTAAAGCAAGATTGTATAAATAGGTAAAATAATGTTAAGTAACAAAAAGCAAAATACATATTGCAGAGAATGGACCTGTAAATTTGTCAATGCGTTAAAAACACAAGCATACTAGATACAAGCACACTGGAACAAGAAAACCACGCAGCCGACTAAACCACCAAAGAGATCAGTATTTTGTCTTTCATCATCTGACTAGGACAAACTTGTTTTCGTGAGATAAGCCCTATGGGATAAAAAAATTTCACTTGCTGCAAAGTGTTTTCGAAAGATTCATGTGCAATAAAGTAACTCTCCTCCAATGACTTCAAATACTCATTGGCCAATGTAAGATTCTCAATACACATCTCACGGAGGCCTTCTCCAGCCTTTTCCCAACCTTCTTGAGACTTCTCCAAAGATGCCTTAATTTATTCTATCTCTTTTTCATAAGGATCCAATGCCTAATTGCCTTAGCGATACCGGCCTACACCTTAGACAGAGATTCCTGAGAAGAAATTAAGGCTTCACTAATCTTTGTCACTTCATCTCAAGAAACATCACCTTTTCATCCAACGTGTCAAGGTACTCGAATGGCTCCACCTTCTATGCTAGAAAGTAAGGTAGATACCCTTTGAGGCTTATCCAAATATCAATCTCGCTTGATGATAAGAGCATTAACACATTCTTTGAGAACTTCCTTCTCCCTTTGAAGACGGTCGAGCAAGAATACTTTTCCCCGTCCGACAACACCAAAAGCCATAACAATTGATGTTTGATGTGTATAATAAGCCAAATTTAATAACTCATTTCAAATAGCTTCTATGGATTTGGTTAAGAAATAAGAGTAATATTCTTCAGAGATAGAAAACTGAAACGCTTTAACTATCTGTGGACAAGGATATGTCAACATCGTAGAAAGCAATCCAATTAAAATTAATGCAGAATTCCCAACGGAACCAGACCTCCTTAAATTTTGCACCAGAAGTCGAGGGAACTTAGCGAGTGACCCCTCCACTTGAGGCTATTTAAGCTCAGGACCAAGGTTCAGGCTTCCTCGCTCATCGGGTAAACATACAATTCAGACTCTGACAAGATATGGCTTTGGCACCAGAACTTAGAGAGTATGTTTGGGAATTGGTAAGGCTACCCAAGGTTTATAGAGCATATTTTAGCATGAACTTCTTCATTAAGAGGAGTGATTGGAAAAAACTGATCCTTGAAGTGCTTCACACTATCTGAATAAACATCAAACATCCTAGCACACTGCCGAAGAGATATCAAGCCCTAACTCTTTGATGAAGCAACCAAGCTATATCAATTTTTGAAATGATGAAAGAATATCATCAAGGTTGGGACACTATTCTTATATTCACACCAACATTAAAACACTTTAACATAAGCCCAACTCACTAGGTGTAGTTGAGAAGGGGCGATTAATAAGTGGTTAAGAACGACAACCTAGAAATAGGTTAAAGGGATACATAAACCTATTAAGGAAAATATACACTCATGAAAGGAATGATGCTTCCGTCTTACTTGTTTCACACCATTTTATTTTCCTCAGTGACAAACACCCTTCAATCAGACGAAGCTCCCACCTTGTTGAATGCACGATCCAAACCGCCCTCAGAGATGAAAGTAAATGCGGTGTCCAACATCTTTAGATCAATCCACACTAACAAGTTGCCCTTTTTGCCTTACGGAACATAGTATGTGGAATTCTCATTCTGAAGATTATTGTCAACACAGAAAATGTGAATATGAAGAAACAACACATTACACACAACAATCCCTTTGTATTACAACGTATGGATAAGGGCTTGAGGGAAATTGTTTTAGATCGTTCACAAGGTCCAAACAAAAGACTTAAGAGCACCACCAAGTGGTAAAGCACGTGAAACGAATTATCCTTCATTTATCAAAGAACATGTAATTCCTCATTTCAGACACATCTATCACTGTGTGATTAGATCCAACAGTTTTCCGTCCAACACGCTTCATCTCACAAACAATCGCTTTATCTCACAAACAATTTTAAATGTCGTCACTATATTAACACAAATTAAAGCACATCATTTTAAATATTCAAATCTATTTTTACTCTCATTACTTTTCATTTTTTTACTAATTAAAATATAAAATATTAACCTTACCTATCAACTTCCTCTCCATCACACCCAAAGTTGCTCCGCCGCATCTAGACCTTATTTCACTTTTCATCTAACATTCCGACTCTATAATAGAACCGTTGCCACCAATAAAGTACTTTGGTTTCTTCAGTGAGATATATAACATATAAAACTTAAAGTACATGACGCAAGGAATCTAATAAGAAAACAAAACAAATCAACATACACGTTTTCCTCCTACCATTAGTCCATTCCTTCTTTGACTAGAACATTGTTAATTAAATGGTTAAATTGTCTATTTGAAGGCCCATGACAAGGATTGATCGATGAGTCTATATTATAAAATAAAAACTCAAGTAAGGTAAACATTAGTGTCTTTGTCATACAGTTTTCTCATGCTAATATTCATTCAATTAATACCAAATTCTTCATTTCAATTTGGATAGATTAATAAGACGCTAAGATATGTCCAATTCAATGGACCCAAACAAGAAAGTCATAGGTAGAGATAGTAGTCGGTCAACGTTAGTTTTGAAGTAGAGACAAGAAGCAACTACCTGGCAGTTTCGGGCATCATCATACGCCAGTAATAAGTCAAGGCAGCCGGAATAGAACCAATCATTAATATCAACCTCCATGCAACGTCAGCCTCCGCCGGCACATCATAAGCCGACTCCGGCTTCGAACCGCGGCGAAATATGGAACAAACCAGCATAGTAACCGTGGCACTAGCCAATATACCAAACCCTTGCATGGAAAAAACCGCAGCTATAAAAGACCCTCTTGTCTTCTTATTAGCAAACTCAGACATGATAGTAGAAGACAATGGATAATCACCACCAATCCCAAGTCCCAAGAAGAATCTAAAGAAACCAAGAGAGAGAAAAACACAAGCTCTCCTTTTTGTACATATCGAGAAGCCAGAAGCTAAAGAGCTTATTATCATCAAGATTAAGGCCATACCGTAGACATGGCGCCGGCCTTTCAGGTCTCCGAGGCGGCCGAATAGGAGTTGTCCTATCGCGGTTCCTAAGAGCGCGACGGAGATGATGGCAGAGACGACAACAGGGTTGACTTGCCGGATTTCCGTTTCGTTGGAGTAGTATATTCTTCCGAGCATCTTTGTGATGAGAGTTATGGAGAAGAGGTCGTAGGAGTCTGAGAAGAGTCCCATCCCTGCTATGATGATGGCTTTGAAATGGTAGTATTGTGTTTTTGCTGAGTCGAGAGCTGATAGAACTTTCAATCCTCTCGCCATTTTACAAATTTGATGCTTCTAGCTTCACATCATAAAGGTTAGTTTGTATGGTAGCATGGAAAATTCAAAATTTGTGTTGGTTTGTGGATTGTATTTATTGAAGGAAACGTGAGAAATGGGGTGGAAAGTTTGTAGTTCGTCATGCAATATTGTTTGTTGTCTTATTATTTTGGAGAGAGCCAATGAGGTTGTAAGTCAAATACATGAGTGTGCGCGTTATTCCTCTAAATATGCGAATCAATTTCATCTATTTGTAATATTTTAAGTTCATATAAAATTGTGCCGTCCCACGTCATGTACAAAGGTTGTTGGTGAATTGTTGCTGCATATTTTTAATTTATCCTGTAGATTGATTCAACTTGGCTTCCGCAAAAGAGGGCAGTTATGAAGTCTGTTGCATTTTTGTGTGGCAAAAGTTGAAGCCTATGCCTTATGATGATTTTTTTGTATGTTAAAAGATGGTTGAAATCCGGAGCAAATATCTATTAAACTTTGACTTACAACACCCACGACCGACTATTAGAGAAGGTGGTGTTTGGTTGGCTCTCCAATCATATTAATCTCGGTAGACCACTTTGAAGGAGCTGTAATTCTTTCGGAACTTTCTTAGCGTACGAGAACTATCCTACAGAGAAATACAGACGATCCAAATTTTAGGTGCATCTAACTACTCTTTGTTATCCACTCGTAACAAACTTTGGTTTTCAAATTCAAATTAAGTTCATTATTCTCCCCCACTTACTGACTTAAGCGTTGGAATGCTAACCTTGCAGGTTAACCCCCTCTCTGGAGCATCGAAAGCTCATATCTGCCATTATCTCTGATCCACACTCCACTTCTGGTTTCAGTACAGAACAATGGTGTTGTTTATAATAAACGACTTCTTTTTACTGCATTTTCCACGATTTCACATTCGCTATTCGATTTGTCAATTCGAAACCTTCTCAAGTCATTGAATCGAGAGCACTCAAAATCTAACACGAAGATTTTCTAGAATTACAGTGGCCCCGCTTCCTCGACTGTTGGACGATCCTTCCATGAATATAACTTAGGTACTATTTGGTTCATAGGGATGAGAGCCATTTCGGCTAGGAAATCGGCGAATAACTAGGCTTTCAATGACTTCCTTGCTTCGAAAGATGCTTGGAACTTTGACAATTCGATGGCCCACTTTGTCAAGCGATCGGCTAGCTCCAGTCAAAGGAGCACATGTTTCAAGAGTAAGTTTGTTCAGACAATTATATAATGGGCAAGGAAGTACTTTTGAAGTTTCCTCGACGTGGTTACCAATGTCAGAGACGACTTTTCTATCTTCTAGTTGTGTGTCTCTTGTTTATCCAATTTTTTTGATGTGAAATATACATGAGTTTGGTTAGAATCTGGATCTTTAATCAAAACGAACTTACTGCCTCCTCCGAGACTGCTATGGTGTGGCTAACACCATTTTTTATGATTAAAAATGATTTTTCACATTCAGGTGTCTATTTGAACTTTGCCTATTTCCTTAACATCCTATAAAAGGAATATGCTTAAAGAGGTTATCATACCATTCAACCTCAGGACGTCTTACTTTGACGTTGGAGAATTCATTTGAACCACTAGTTTGCATTTGTCAAGGTTGGCTTCAATTCTCCATTCTGTCAAATAGAAATCCAGGAATTTGTCGACTCTTATTCTGAATGTGCATTTCTTTGGATTAAATCTCATACTATAGTGCCAAACTTTTCTGAACACGCGCTAGAGGTCTATGGCATAAATCTCTTCTCGATCGAAATTCATAATCATGCCATCTATGTGTACTTTTAGTGTATTCCCTATTTTTTTGGGAAGATCTTGTTCATCATTTTTTGATATGTTGTACCTTCGTTCTTCAACCCGAAAAGGCATGATGTTGTATTGATAATTAGCTTGCTCGGTCATGAATTAAGTCTTCATCCTGTTGGGTCTGAACATGGGTATATATTTATATCTGGAGTAAGCATCCATAAATGATAACAACTTGTACCCAGACAAGTTATCCACATGCGTGTCGATGTTTGGGAGTGGATAAGAGTCTTTCAAACATGTTTTATTGAGATTTGTGTAATCTACACACATCTTCCATTTCCCTAGACTTTCTTCATCAAAGCCATGTTGGAAAGACATTCACTACATTTAACCTTATAGATGAAATTTGCGTCCAACAAGCCTTTAATCGTGCTCGTGGTAGCTTCAGCCTTCTCTAGGGATTGCCTTCTTCTCTGCTGGAAGATGTAACGGGCTATGGGGTCGAAGTTTAACTGTTGGCAAGCTACCGTGGGATTAATGTCGGGCATCTCGTGTAGAGAGATATCGAAAACATATGCATTTTCTTGTAGACATATGATCAACGTGGACTTTACCTCGGGAAAAAAAACTTCGAATTTTTTGTCTCTCACATTCCTAACTTCATCTTCGTGCGCATTGAAATTGAACATATTGACTTTCCCATAACCTTTTTCCACCACCACTGAAGAAGAGAGGAGATTCTTAAGGATGACCTCTTTGATACACCTTGCTTCCTTGAGGTCAATGTTGATCATAATTGGTTTTCCTACCTCGCTGTGGTATGCTATCTTTAGATGGACTTGGGAAGCCACTGCGCACATTATTTCAAGGGGAAACCAATATCACGTTATTTCAGCTTTCACTATAAACTTTTATTGTTAAAATTATAATTTCAATCTTAAAAATAATTCCTGTTACATTTATATATTATACAACTTAATTGGGCACAGTTGGTACGACGATCCTTACATTTTAGATCCTATAGAAATCTACTAAGACATGGTGATAGTAGTAAACAAACAATTATTCTTCATGGCATGCACATTCATAACAATAAATAAAAATTGCAATTAAAGGGAACCTGGGAATTGCATAAAAATGGAGACTTTAATATATTAATGGTGCTTCGAAGGGAGACTTCAATCTGGTACAGAAGCTGGAAATAAGTTCTGATAAAAATTTGGACAGGATTAAATGCAAGCAACAACAACAGTTACAACTTCAAAAATGCAAGAAATTAAATGAAGAATGCTCAAAGCTTAAGACTAAAATTGTATATTACTCAATATGAGAACATAATTGCTTCTACAAATTGTCACTACTGCAAAAAAGGAGGCCGACAAACTAGACAGAAGAGTCACTACTGTTTGCGGTAGAACAAAGACTTAACACACTCTTTCTGAAAATTAAGTTTGAAACAAATCCCGAAGGATAAAAAGGTTTGATTTTTTTGTTTGTGTTTTTTATGAGAAGAAGTGAATTGAGTTAGATTTGAAACTCATGTTGCACTAAAGACTATGACTTGAGAGAGAATGTGTCGCATATCGCCCAAAGGGCATACGCTAAACACTCTAGACAGTGTGAGAGGAGGCCCCCCACATATCATTCCTCATGTACTTAATCCTCGTAGCGTACAACATTTGTTAACCTTTATTAAGTGTCTTAAGAAGTTATAAGATGAGAAGAAAAGACATAAGACTCTAAGGGGAACTGATCAACCCTAATGTTAGCATGCAATGTGGTTCTAAAGTTGGGATTGAAAAGGGAACTACCTAATGTTATCATGCAAAGCATTGAAAGCCTAATGTCTTTCCTACTCCTATCTTAAATAGAGGGACTAGGAATCCTAAGGAATCATGGCAAAAGAGCACCAGTAAACACATAGCAATTAAATCATAGATGAAAAGAGATGAGAGATGAAAGTGACTTAAACAAGTCAATGTAAAAGGAAATGCAAACATGGAATGAAACACAAATGAAAATATGAAAAGATGCAACAAGACTCAACAAACAAAAGAGACTCAAACACAAGAGATGACTTGAACAAGTTAAGAAGTATGAGATGAAATGGGAGAAGCAAACTCCTACAACCAATTATCATCAATCATCAAGGAAGAAAAGTGCTATCCTAAGATGCACACACAAAGAAAAGAGGGAGGAAAGAGTGTGGGGCAGCCACCAACACAAACACATCTCAACCATACAATTCTTAAAGATCAAGTAAAGCAATTGCAAAACAACAATGCAAAAGAAGCACAATTGTTCATGACAAACTCAAAGTGTATACATCAATACCAAATCATCATGAATAAGTGACAAACCAAAGAGGGAAGAATGAATCACACATGGAATGATCCAAATTCAAAGTCAAAATGAAATGCAAGTACAAGGGTGATCATGCACAAGTGGAAGCAAGGTTGTCAAACTCGCGGGTAGACTCGTAAACTCGTATGAGTTTACGAGTCTATGAAGCGAAAACGAGTAGACTCACGCGTAGAATCATTTTTTGATAAACTCAAGTAGACTCAGGTAGACTCGCATAAACTCGTATAGACTCGCGAGTCTATGGTGAGTTTATGAGTCTATAAATTTTTTGAATTTTGTTTTTTTTAACCCAAAAAAGGCCCAAACTTCCTAAAAGATTTTATTTTATTTAAAAAAACCCTTACTTTTTGCTTGTACGAGAATTAGAAAGCCTCTCTCCTAGTCTCTTGTTTTAGCAAAGTTTCTTCCTCCCTTTATCCCTTAATAAACGACATGTGTTTATTATGTCTCTTGCTTTGTTCGCGTTCGTTCCCGTAAATCAATCATTTATTGTGTAAGTATTTTTCTTATATGTTTTACTTGGATGCTTCTCTTGTATATTCTCTTGTGTAAAGGTGATGAATGGATAATTGAAGATCCTAATGCAGAAAATATGTAAACTAAAAATAATGTTGAGTAAGATGATATTATTGTTAACAATATTGTGGAAGTTGATATTGTTGTTACTAATATTGTGCAAAGTAGTGGTGGCGGAAATGTTGAATTAGGTGGAAATGGAAATTCAAGCAATCCAACTTTGGTTAACGATGAAGAAGGTGTTTCATTTGGGGTAGAATTTTATGATGATGCTCAAGATACCGATGAAGATGATGGTGATGATTTTACTGGAGTTTTGGATGTTTAAAGCCATTAGCATATTTATTTTATGA